TTCGGCCATTAAGGGGCGTTGGTCCACGCGACCCGTATCTGCTGTTGTCTCTGATGATGGGTCCGAGCAGGAATCCGAAACGTCAGGCTAATAAAGCTCTTGTCCCAGCGATCGTGTCTCCTTCTTCAAGAGCTCTCATTGGCCCAGACTCGCGCACGCGTGCTGCATCACTGGCTTTACTACTTGAGTCTGCGCCGAATATAAACTGTCCACTGGTCCCTTTCCCTTTTTCATACCAACCAGGAACTTCTCCCTCAGTCGTAAAGGTCAAGGTACACCTCTCACAGCTGCAGTAAGCCTACCTCTTTGCCTACGTCTTTCAGACTGAAGAAGTTAGCGCGTGCGGAAAGAGACCTATTAAGGGACTTCGTTCAAGTCTGCTTTGGGCAACTAGGGCGTGTCTGAGGTTGGTCGGAAATGGACATGTGTACCCCCTGAACTGGGCGGCGCAAGACCGCCTGCAATATAGGAATGTCGGTAATTGGGACCTTTTGGGAAAGGACGCGTGATTTTCTTACGTAAATAAAAGAGGAAAAATTGTACCTGCACCGCATGCTTGCTTAAACATACTAAAAGGACGCTTTATTAGAAGATGGTTCATGCGTCCGTTTCCTACCCTTCTGTCCAATGCCATTTGGACTGCGGATTCCACTTTTCCCCAATGATTCTCCATTCGGTTGTCCTATTTCATTGGCAAAAGAGATTCAGATGACCACTTCAAGTTTCAAAATCCAGCCACTCATATCTGAACAGTAGCTCCAAAAGATTTGAGATTGCAATCCTGGATTCCATTGGTCTCTAATGTACGTGCTCGTCAGTCCCCCTGGTGTCTATTGGTAAAAATTAGTCGAGTATGGGTTATTGGGCGCTATATCGTCACCGGTGAAGGCCCTGGACCAGAATTGACGTATCAGGCGTAAGGCCGGTCTTCAAGTCTGGGAACTCGACCGTCTTGTAGTTTACTGGGACGTTGCTCTACACCTGGCCGTCTTCGTGCGAGTGAACTTTGAATTATGATTTAGAAGACAAAATGACGAGCAAATGTTGCGTTCCATAACTTCTCTTCGGGCCAGTACAGTTATATGGGAACGGGGTACAGTGATTGAAAATCGATAAAAGTTTGTTTTAAAAAACTCAGGCTAGGCAAGATTGGAAGGGCACAGAAAGTTGCACGTGGTTGGTCAACCTTTGACCACGGTAAGTGCGAAGCCTGAACGAGGGTCTTCTGGTCGTATACAGTCGGTTTTCGTAACTTGATGGCGGTCGCTTCTGCTGTTGCCAACAGGCGCTGGCCCAGTAGCTTAGGGTAGCTCGAGGGGACCTTATAAATCACACAAAATGCTTCAGCAGGGTCCACACGATGCCCTGAATCCACTGCATGCGCATGGACGGTGCTGTCTATTCTCCTAGTTTCGCCTTTTGTCAGCCATCGGGAAGGTGCTCTCTTATTCTTTTGGAAAGGCGCCGACTCGTACGACCAATATAGCCTGCTCCACAGGAGAAAGTGAATGAATAGATGCACATTGAGGTGATCTGAGGTAGCAGCCTATCCTTGCCTTCTCCGCGTAAAATATGGTTAGTAGAGAATGATATGAGAACCCTTTTCGCATATTGAGACCCTGGATTTGGGCCTTCCGAATAAATTCGTTAAGCCTCGACAGATTGACGGTCACTCTTCGAATGTGATTCCCTTGGAATGGCTTTTGTGTTTATCTGTTCACTGAGTATTTCGGTGTAATTGGATAACTAGGTTCATTTCATTCTGTCCCCACAATTTTTAACTTTAAGGGAGTTTCACCTAGATCGGAAACGTTTGACTGTCTACCAGTATAACCATGCGTTTGTATATTTTGGCCAAAATTTGGTAAAGTAACACGAGCAGGATAATCTCTTTCCTGAGGAAGAACTCTGTACACTTCGATCGGAGGCGAAAATCGTCGTCATCAGGTCCAACTGGAAAGAAAAGGCGATTAGGGGAACTATGGACTTAGTATTATGGCATTCCAAGCGCAAGCAGACTTCCATCGCCACACTGAGAAGGAGCCATTGCAGTCCGACCCCTTGTTCTGGAAGGAAGACCGAGTTATCCCGTCAGTTTGCAGTCTCCCATCAGTTCGATCGTTGTGCCCGACGATGTCCATCGTGTGCTGCCCAGCAAGGTGAAGCAGGCATGGCGACTTGCGCAGCATCCGCCGTACTCTCCCCTTCTCCCCACCTGGGCCCGGTGTCAAGACATGGTCAAGAAGACCGAAGGCAGGAGAGAGCGCAGGTAGCTGGCACGGTCGAACCCGCACCTAAGGGTATCCCCATACCCCCTGGTCCACAATAAACACTACCACTAAAGGGCACTCGCACGTACGGACGGGCAAAGTGGCTGTTTCGACGTCTCAAGTCTCTGACCTCCTATTTGAACGTCACAGCCAGCTCGTAAACACAATTCTTGAAGAGACTTAAAGGAGCGAGCCTCCTGCCAAGCGATGTCATGGTTTCCTTTGATGTCGCGTCCACTTTTACTTCTATCCCGCAGGACCTGGCAGTTGAGACCATCGAACTACTCCTACAAAGTAAATACAATGAAACGGAGAATCGCCTCGGACACGCCCAACTCATCCAGCTCCTGAAGTTCTTTCTCAAGACATATTTTATGTTCGATGGAACAATCCACGGGCAGGTGAAGGGAACGCCAATTTGTTCGTTGATTTCGGGACTCATAGTCGAGGCGGTCCTACAACGGCTGGAGTCGCTGGTTTTCCTACACCACAGACCGAAATTCTCGGCCCGGTATGTGGATGATACCTTCGTCGTCATCGAATGGGATCAGGTGCTGACATTCAAAGAACATTTTGGTGCCGTCTCCCCGGACATTCAATTTACGATGGAG